AGTTGGAGCCTGTGCGCTGTCAAAGTAGGATCGGACTTCATTAGTCTCTTCTTGGCAAATCGCGAGTCTGAAAGCGAGTGCAATCCGCTTCCCATGCCCCAAGTGAAAAGACGTCTGCGCACAAAAACCCCTGCTCTGCTTCTGTCCTGATCTCTCATACTACCACGCCGATTAATAGACAGGCGGCTATAATCCGCCACCTGTCAATCAGCCTTCTTCTATTGCACACAAATAGCTTCAAGTGGTTGTATGACAGACAAAAGAAATTATCCGGAACTACATTCTTTCGCAGTGGAAAAAGGAACCCAGCACTTCAATGGCCTTCGTTTGTTTCACTAAATCCGCTTTTTCTCAATTCCAGTCATTCAACTTGTTAAGCGGTTCCTTTTAAAGTCGTATATTCTTATCTTCAACCCTATTCAGCTCGCAACTCGTTAAACAAAAGAACTGGGCGCCAGATTCCGGAGAAAGCGAGAAATTTAATGACCTGGTTTCCTAAACCGTAACTCAGCTAGGTCTAGTGTAACCTGGGACGGACTCGCCCAGTTGGTTAAATTGTTCCGCTTTTACGTGCCTTCCAGTTCGACGACTACCTGACATACCCTGCTTCAGAAATTAGCTGTCACAAGAATATTTCCCATTCCCACTTCTCATTTTCGAATCATACACTACGGAACGCCTAAGCTCTAGTGTCCTGAAGTGGGGATGGAAATGGACTCCTGCTGTGCGAACGGAGATAGACATGGAATTAAACAAAGTTCTTTTTTGGAGTTCTAGGGTTCTACTGACGAGAACTGCTGTTGGCCTTATGCCTGCAGGTTTTCCTTTTCCATAGTGCCTTAGCCTTTTCCTTTAACATTACAGGCTCAGAAGCTACACAAACCATAAGAACGAAAATCCTATGGGAAAAAGGGAGTCATAACACGCCCCTTCCGCCCACCTCTTTCTTTTGACCGTTTTCCCCTAAAATATAATTCCTCTGAATTCTTTGAAAAAGAACAGAAACCCCTAACTTAATCGTACGGTTCCTCTTTAGACCGTATGGTTCTTCTTTGTTTGTCGAAAGTAAGGGCCGGAGAGATTAGATGACTTATTCTACTGGCATATCTGGAAGATACACCTACTGCTGAACAGATGGCCAGGACATTTTTTGTCCCACTTAGGCTACATTGTCGTACTTCATTACAGGCGTGAATGTGGCAGTAATCATTCCGACCGACTGGATCAAATAGCACAGTGAGTGTAAAATGAGACATAAGAGATAGACGAGCAAGACAGCTGCAAAGACGCATGGCGGTACTACACCGGAAATAAAATCGAAGATAGTTTTCACAAAAAACTGGTTGTCCTATTCTCTCAAAAAAGAAAAAGGAAGAATGCAAGAGTTGTAGAAACGTGGAACGGCGGAATCAGAAGGTAGCTGCAAGCTTTATATACGTATTGATCGGCCTATCGCTTCATGATCCCATGATTTTTCGTCTCAATTATTCAAAAACAGTTATTCAGTGCTGGTAGCGGATGCCTCGACTTCACATTTCCACTATTTTACGATTGTCCACGACTCTGACCGAACTTTACACGTGGTCCAGGGTTGGAAAGTCGGAGACCTATGGGATCCGCTAGGGAGATTCAGTAGGTATCGATTAAACTCACTGGATCTATCCAGTACATTACGGAAAACCTATGTCGTCCAACTAAGCCAGTCACTTCATTAAACAACTCATAATTGCAGGAATGTACGCACATCCATCTAATGTGAACCAGCCACCCTCGAATCCAAATAGACTCAAGGGTAGTCTGGGTGCACCCTTTTGTGAGCCCCGTCAGAATGGCGCGTGTGAAACCGGAAAAAAAGACTCGGCTACATAGTGGGTAAATATCAGAACAACCCCCCAGACAGTCTGCTACGAATGAACTTGGTCGAGTTCACAACAGAATAACAGCGACGGCGAGAATCACCTGCAGAGACCACTCACCGCGACGTTCTTACCAGAAAGTACTCATCATCTACGGCAGAACAAGGTAGAGTCGGGTATAACGAGTAACGGAGGGTAACTTGTATGTAGGCTTGAGAGTTGTTGCGGTCTACGGACCTACCATCTCACTGTACTCCACTTAGTAAAAAGTGTAATTCATGGCAATAAATACGTCTAACTCGTGAAGTTTGCAAATACACAAACAGTTATTAATCTCGCAGTTAATTCTAACCACACTAACCACTAACCACCATTCGAAAGAAAATATCTCAATGCAATCTTTCTATTATTCGTCATATGTTTCTGAATCAGATGTCATTCATGAGTGGGTATAAAAATGTCGGTCGATATATGACTAATTCTCTAAATTTCCAGCTGGTATCGATGATTAATAAGGAGGCTAGCGATAAAAGAACAGTCACCTTGCATAAAAAAATCAGCCAGCTAAAGTTTCAATTCTCAGAAAAGTCGCAGTATGGAAAATTGAAAGTTAGTCGTGAAAAAGGAGAAAGAACTCAAAAATCTGGGATCTCCACTGGCGCTTCAACCCCAGGTCGTCCATTCGTTCTGCGCCTGACAACTCCAAAACAAGTTCCTAGCCACTTTAGGCTTCTCATTCGGGATGTTCCTTATTATTCCTATACCGAACTATAGCAGTTACTACAAGATGATGCCGCTCAGCATGAAGTAGACCTGTACCATAGCCCCAAACATTTGAGTTTATGACATCTTGAAGTGAGTCATTCGGCACCAACAGGTAGGGTAGAGAGGATGAATAGAATGGAACGAAAAGAGGCAAATAAGTAAAAGAGAAGAGAGTTGGCAAGCCTATGGAAACCATTAGAATACACAGTAGCAATAAATATCGTTAAGTATCATTCAGTATGGCAGTAGTTCTGAATGTAATAAATTCAGCTCTCCAGTGAATCAGCTAGTCCTTCAGAGACTCAAAAAAGAAACTCGACATTCGTGAAGTATACTCGCGAAGTTATGTTGTTTACCACAGATGATTGCGCGATTGTCGCGAACGTGCTCTAATCACAAACAAATGTTGCACTTACTGGTAATCGGCTGTCATCACTAATCTATGGGATGAGCCAGATTTGAGAAAGCGCCACTAGTTAGTTCGTTAACTTCGCTCGAATTCAAGCATGTAATCAAACCAAGGAATAAACAAAATTTTAAGAGGATGAGGACGTAAAGCAGAGACGCGAGCTGTTGCGTAGCGTGATAACATTACTTCAGCAAATTTGTGATAAGGACTAATAGCAGACAGGATACACGGATTCGAAATTTCTGATCAGAAAACATCCGAATATAGGTATCTGTGGGCTGAGAAGGAGTAATATTCTTTCGATAACAATACAAAATAAAGAAAAAAAAATAAAGAAAAACCTATCTTCGAGATTTCTTGAGACTTCCTATTGCACCTATTGGAGCAACGACGACTAACATAGTTTCTATTTCTGCCACAAAACGGGATGATAAGCGTGGTATCAAGTTTACAATAGATAAATAATGATAAGAGAGCCTCTATGTGACAACGGCTTTCAAGGTCATGAAAGCGCCGAATACACAAAAATTATTAAAATGCAAACAAGAGTTGCAAAAGCTGGCGAGAAGATGAACAACTCTTTTGCTCCAGAAAAATACCAAGCCAGCCACTATTTTACTGAATACGATTGATGCAGCAGAGCCCTACCATGACCCAGGAAACGAAGTAAAAACACCTTACAATTTGCTGTCACTCAAAAAAAAAAAAAGAAAACAAATCAACAATTTTTGCCTAAAGAGCCGTGACCCGTAAAATCTACTGTTGTTCGTCGGCATGATGTTGGAAATTGCCCCCATAATATGGAACATGCACTTCTGCCGCCACTTCCTCAAGGTCCAACTACATGTTTGCAGGCGGAATTTCGCACCAAATGTTCTTGAATACATCGCATAACCTCTCCCAAAACACTACCAATGGTCATCAAGAATGGGTTAAGAGTAGCGGACAGGCGGTGCGTTACCAGATTAGGAGAGTAATGTACTTCGTCTGGAGCAAAACAAAACAATAGTCACAGAGCTAGATGTCCAACTAGTACTCTGCTGAGAATTCTTTGAACTTGTTCTACGACCGCAAATCGCGTTTATGGTAGGCGGTGCCAGCGTTAAATCCCAAATCGTCATGTAATGCCGCGCACGCAGCTATCGCGAAGCGATACCTTGGTAAACGATTGCCGGAACTGTGTCTGTCAAGATGACTACAACTATCTCCAAGCGAAAAAAATGAGGAACGAACCCAACGGATCGTCGTCCTTTGCTTCTTCCGCGGCTGGTTCCGTCGGTGACGACGTGTCGGAGTGTTCTACAGAACACTCTGATAGAGCGTCTCCTTTTTCGTCAAATACAATTCTGGCAATCGGGCAATCTCCACTGGCCTGAAATTGGACACATCTTAACGTTGCCCTTCTGTCCATAATTAGCTGCCATTCACCAGCACTTGTTGCAGACGTTCATTTTTGCCCCAAGATCACCTAATAAAGAGGGGAGTTGGGTTGAGTGGTACTATGATATTGTGAATAGACTGTGACAAAAGGTACGATCCCTCTAACAAGTACTCAGCTGGCGATTGCAGAAGCGTCTAAAAACACTTACCGTCATAATTTTTTCACATCTTTTATGCCTTAACTTTTTTTTTCACCGACAATCCGTAAGCAAGGTCGCAATTACGGATTAGGTCATCGAGACGTCGCAGTACCCCGATCAACTCCAACTATTCCTCTTGTGAAACGCCCCCTTGAAAAACCAAGCGTGCTTATTATCATGTTACGGCTGCGACAATGTCTACCGCTCTGCGACCGCTCGCCCAAAGTTCACATATGGCGTCCGCGACCGTAATCTCACAGTTTTTGCTGATTTTATTCTGTTGACAGTAACACAACAGGCTAAACAGCTTGACATCGGTTTTTCATTCGAAAGCCCTCCCCTGCCGTCTCCGAGGCCAATCTCCCGTGCACTGCGCAGGCGGTTGGCTTGTTTCGTTCAGGAAGGATATTTACTGAACCAAATCCGAACCCACGGAATCTAATCAATGTTTCTTAGCGATGTATTTTTTGTGAAGATACCGTTTCCAAAGAAATCGTGGCAAGATCAGCCTATCCATTCTTTCAAGCACTCAATGAGGTAAACTTTTTGGTAAGGGGGGNGGGGGGGGGGGGGGTTAACATTGGCAGCTCATGAAACTGTATCGAGCTAAATGGTAATCCATCATGCAGCCAGTCATTATGTCAAAGAGACAAGGGATTAGGATGACCCTGGCACCCTCTATGACTTCGCCCGTGTCTTGTGCCACATGGTCGCTTGGACCGCAATCTTTGATGTCCACACGACTCCCGATGGGAAAGTTTACATACAACAGTCAAACAATACAACCTGACCGAGGAAACTTCGCCAGTCTCGATGAGGTCGACCTTTTCACCGGAACTTATCTTACCATAAGTTAAGACCCATTTGTTCTGCCTGGACCTGGGGTCTCCTATTATATAGCATTTTGGACTGCCTTCAAAGTCATAAAGGAGATTCACAGAAGTACCAGCCATGGATAGGTAATCCTAACCATACCATGCCTGAGCCTGTTACTACCGCGAACACCGAAGACGAGCAGTTCCAACGGCATCCCTGGGCTCGACAAAACTCCACGTCTACGGCGTTCCGGGGCTCATGTACCTGATAGAAATGCTCGTCCATCAGCCCACGTGTAATAAAGAAAAAGTTCTGAACTACCAGAAACCTTGGATTATGAATTGCACAACCCATTTCGTCGAAACCTCTCGCTTCGATGGAGATGTCCCAGTGGCAAAGTAACAGGCGTAGGGATCCAGCCATACGGAGCTGAATAGCCCCGTTTCCCGAACGATCCTTGGTAAAGTGTGCCGCCGCGACCAGGGGTCCTGCCACGATCACCTCTAGCGAAACGGCTGCAGACGGTAGGTAAGTGGTCTGGTCTTTGGTTTCCCACATTAAACACTTACTCATCGCAGGAGCAGGTACCGAAGGGCGTCCCATTCAAAAGGAGATTTTACAACTGCACCGCCAATATTGGTTTGTCACACTAATTTGGTAGCTTTTTGTGTATGAACTTACCGCTCTGGTACTATTCATCTGTGTAGTACGTTGCCCACATGCAGCTTCAGCTTCTTCGACTGATTGACAGAGCTGTAGAACGGTTAGGTTCTTACCGTCTTGATCGAGCGTTTCACCTAAACAATGGTTATACTTGGAAAAGCACTCATCGTGGGCGGGGCTACCATCTTTTGGGTCTGCACCGTCTCTGCCAAACTCTTCCTTTCGGGACCACTCAAGCAACAAGTTCAGAAATCCTTTAAACCTGAGGCTAGTAATGGTGGTAACAGACGCATGCGCGAACGTGAGAGCGGGAACTAGACGTGGTCCCGACCGGAAGAGGTGTTACGGTGATTGAAGAGAGGATGGTTGGATAGCGATACTCACCAATATCGATCCCTTCCAGAAGGTTCTTATCCGAAATCACTGTGAATTTCATTGATGTGCCGTCAAATGCGACGGCTGCTTGTGAATTTAGCATTTGTTACTGAAAGTACAAGTTATTAGAGGTTCATCCAACACAAGCGGAATGCGACGCGAAGTGTGTCCGAGTTCGTCTGAAACCGACTGGACGACATAACCAACTAAGCACATGTTTCTATTATCATGATCCAGGATGAGAAAAGCAAATTCTGGTTGGAAAGAATGATCGCTTCATGCAGTCCAGTATAGGAAGAAGCCCAAAGCAATTTGCTAAAGAAAAACTCCCGCAACTCCGGCCAAATGAGCTGTAAAGTTGTCGCTTGAGCGAACTTTCTGCACAAGGCTGAATGAAAGACGCAGAGGATGATGAGAATCAGACAGAATACCTAGGACTTCCATTACCGAGAGTTGTAGGAAAAGGTCTATCCGTGAATTGGGAATCCTTCGAATGGAACAAAAACTACACGAGTGGAACATCAAGGAAGGTTCCAGAAACTCCACTTCCCCTGAACGGGAAGTACCCCCAGGAAAGAATCCATACAGGGCTAGTCTTACTCCAGGAACCATGACGCAAACGCATGACCATGGAACATATAAGATAAGCTTTCTTCCCATGGAAGGAGGTTTTTCCGGCTGGGCACGGTTTGGGTAGGTGGATGCCGAACTCGGTTCCTACCGACGACATCACGAAATCCTGCCTGGGAATTACCCAACAATAAGCCAGGAACCGAGACTGTAGCCTATTAAACAACTTAAAAGCAACACTTGGGGTCTTAACAACCAAGAATGGCTGCCAGTTCTCTAATTAAGACTATTCGCTGCCTACTCGCCATAGAGCTAGGCTTGGGTTCACCCTTACCCTACCGGTCCATGGCTGGGAGGATCCCCTTCACTGCCGAGCCCGGAAGAAATCATACCTAAAGGAAAGGATTAAGAGGATTCTTTGATTCGAGCCAGGCACAACTCCAGGGGGCCACAGTCACTAGATGCGCTGTCAAGGTCAGGGCACTCAAACTGTTAGCTCAGCAGGACAAGGCGATCCAGAGCCATCCATGGAACCAAAGGATTCAGCTTCAGATACCAAAGCCAAGCTAAGAAACCGTTTGTGGACGGTGAGCCGTCACGAAGTCCGGCCAAAGAAATCTCGGGGCGGCGTGTCAACAAAGGCCGTGCTGTGAACGACAGTGTTGTTCACGAATAAGCCAAAGGACAACCAGAACACACTCACTGTCGACTACCATGGGATCAGAATCACATCTGAGAACGATCTGTGGCAACATGGGAATAGGAAGAAGCACAGAGGAAGCCGGTGGAGGACGTGGTGGAAGGCGGTGGGTACGTCGGCGGCGGCGGCGGTGGTGGTTATCGCGGGGCCGCAGGAAAATCGATACCAGAGAAGCGCCGCCCCCGAGGGCCACCGCCACTCCGCCGGCACCACCACCGCCAACGGACTAACACCGTCCGTACAGGTCACTCAGTGGGTCCTAAACTCTGGGAATAAGGTAAGGCTAAGGACGTAACTGGGAAGTCGTGGCCTCATGGCCGGAGAGATTTGACGGCCAATGAACGGAAGCAGCAGTGAGTGGTTCAATTCGATAAGTGAGGCAGCTCAGCGAGGTTTTTCTCCCACTCGTCCATGTTTCTAGGAGATAGAAACGGATTCGGAAGTACCTAACAAGTTTAGGAGCACCCACTCCTGGTAGTGGAGGCCTTGCCGTTACACCTAAATAAACAGTTATTGCAGAGGTTTTCTAGAAAATTCGATTGCTTTGGATCCCCAGTTGTATTGCCAGCCCTGTATGTGGGCAATCGAGGTTCGCGAAAGGATGCTGTAACCGCTAGTAATGGTAGTCGGTTCTATACCTTGAATGCGACCAGTACTTGATAGGACCCGAATAGGTTCAGAACCATACTGACCCAGGTATCTCAGGTAGCCAACTTGCCAGGGACTCTTTTCAGTACTACAGACTCTGTCATAGGGAAAAATTCTCGCCTCCAGTGTAGGAAGCTACCATGGGTCTCCTGCGGACTCTGTGCAAGCCTATGACAGGTCGTGTTGTAGCATCCGGACAGTACTGGACAGTACCACTTATGTACTTACTGAGGTACTGTCTGGAAAGAAAATTGCTCAAGAAGAACTACTCAAGAAGGACACAAGGTGAAGGTACTTGAGAAGAAGAACCCACTTGGCTCCATTTGACCGGTTTTCCTTCGCCGCTCGGTTGGACTGGCTGGGGTGATGGCTAATAGATCAACTCACCTAGTCGTGCAGTATCATCAAGGCTCTTATGGAAATTCTACAGAATCTGCTGAAGTGAATTCTGCCTTGGGAAGACATGGAAGTACTAGGAATAGCGGCGATGAGATGTTCCAATGTGCTGCTCTATGGGCAATCAGCTGTCCGGTGAATACAGATCGATCGGCTCCCGGAGAGACCAGAGAACACACAACCAGGCGTTTCACCCAAACACCTTCTCGGGTGTCTAACTTACACGGCTATGATGTTGTCCAGGTAAAAGTGCTTCTCTATGAGTGCTTACTCGAGTTTTACTGAGACTGACCAGCTTAGGTGGAAAGACTAACAACGTCTATTGACCTAAGGAGGGAGACTGGAGGTCACTCAGATTAGGGTTTAGCAGGGCTGTAGCAAGTTTTTCTTCTTGTTTCCTGTGGAGCTCCACTCCAGTCCTTAAGCGATGGGTCTGCCCTTGCACTGTGGGGCCAGGGCTCGTTTGCTGCTAGTAAAGCCAGTATGGTTGTGGGAGAGCCAGAGCTTTTCACCTCCTCCTACCTCAGACCTGAGAGCACGTGAATTTTCCTCCCGATGCATCTCCAACAAAGGTAAATATGGTACAATGAATAATTTCCAGTACAATTATCCATTCCTGGGGACTAGGGATTCCACAAAGTACCTCATGCATTTGTTGCCTCCTAGAGAAATGTTTTCTGGCTGTTTGCAAGCCCCAAGCGGACCAGCCAGCACTCACGTAAGCACCCTTCCTCTCCCACTCGGCGTCGGCACTGGCTGTAGTATAGAGAAGTAATGGAGAGTTTGGTCTACCCTGGTCATGGGTAGAGCTAGCTCTCAGTAGCCTTGAGAACAAGTAAACCATTGATTCAACAGAGTTATCACCATCTCCACACACTTTCGGCGCCTCTATCGATCTTGGGGCGCCCTGTTCCCGAGTCGCTGTTAGCCACGACCAAATCAAGTCGGTCACGCACTCCTTGTCCATCTTGGAATTTTCTAGCTCGGGCGATTCCTGCTGGACATCATAGGGTACCAGTAACCCTAGTCGAGTTCAGTAAGCCTGCCCTTCCGATCGCGGACAGTCTTCCAGTTTCCATGGCCAGAATTAGGTACTAGGCACAAGAGTGGTGAGCTCGAAAATATCAGAACGGTTTCAGCAAATGGTATTCCGATAGGTGCTAAACCCCAACCTGGTCCGGCCTGTGTAATTTCTCAGGGGCATCCCCTTGGTCGTGAAACTCGAATCGGCTCGTCCAGCTAGTTGTCGGCAAAGCAGCCGACTTCTTTAACGACCATCATGCCATTTATTCATTCAGTCATTTGGTGACTTCCCGAGATATGCGCTCTGGGAACAGCGGTGTTCATTCACTCATACGCGAAAATGTTCAAAAAGGACTAATTCTTAGATGCGCCATCCCATCCATAGCTTACTGAATCGCCGAGGCGATTGATTGCGTATATGGCCCATACATTGCTTATTGGGTCTCACATGGCTATTAGGGAACGGCAGGAGGCAAAAATAGTTTGGATTACAACTACTTCAAAGTTGAGCCCTCCACCTTGATTCTGTGTCATTAAGGTGTTGGTATGCCTAGTTGCCTACACGATGATCTCCCGGATTAACCCGCTGTGCAAATCAGTGTTTCGTCCTCTTAGACGAGCCGTTTCAGAATCGAGCCATACGCTTGACCTCTGTTTCGCATCGTTGAAATGTTGGTAAGTATCGGTTGGTCCCTGTAAGTCATTGTACAGGTAACGTAGCATTCAAGCGACCCTACGATTCGTAGTGGAGTTGAGTGCGAGGCGCATTCCGTTTCCTGCCAAGTTTTCCTACACAACTGCTGGATTCACCCGCTTTACAAGTCAGTGTTCCGCCTTCTTATACGAATAGTCAGAGAAAGTGGTGGAGGGCGGTTCTACTTAGGCGGGATTTGATCAGCGAGTCATACGTGCGAAGCAGCGCCACGTGCCACTACACTTTGTTTGTCCGAAAATTTATGTGAAAGTCTATTGAATGACGGAGGCATGACGTTCAGGCGAGCGGCCAGATGTTCTGCAAAAAAAAGCGACGAGTAACTGCTAATCTTAATCATCTTTCGACGAACAGAAAGGTATCGAAGTCCAAACGCAGTTATGTAAGGTTTTGTAGAGACCCTGAATAGCGAGGCTAGTTTATGAAATCCCCTTGATCCAGTTACAGAGTGCGCCATGCGTTTGCTTTTCTGCTCCTTGCACCCATGATTGCACTTGGATGTTGACTTCACTTCTACATTTATGCGCCAAGCAACCTACGTCCGAGTCAAGTTAGCGCCCATCACTTAGACAGACAGGGTAGTACCAACCGATCGATGCGTGTTGCGCTAGAGCCTAGGTTGACTCGATTATATTTGATCTGGGAACGGGTATGTGGTACTGACTTTCTTTCCCACTACCTCGTCCCTGTCCCAAGGGGACCTCATAAAGTAAATGAACAATTGCACAGAGAAGGAACCGATCGGGGCCGTCGTTAAGGCTTGGGCGTGCCTAGACGCGCTGCGCTACAAATGGCTGCATAAAGAATGGAGTACGAAGGTGGCCCGAAACCCAGTAACAATAGCCAAGGTCACGATGGCTGATCCCCATTCTGAATGTTCGCCGTATCTGAACCTAAAATTACTGCCTTCTGGGCAGCTGATTTCCATAGATAGAGCCTCACATAGACATTCCCTAGTAGAACAACCCTACTCATAAAGCTGATGTGAATGTCGTTACTTGAATGTCTTCAATAATCGCGAACTCCCTGACAGATCAATAAATCGATAACTCAC